TCCACCTTATTTGGTTTATGTTCTCTTCATTTCCACCCCATCATATTCCAAATGTTACAATGCTCTCAGCTTTGCCTTAATTCCTTGTTTATGCTTTATGAGTATATTCTCTAAATGTGAATCGATCATTGCTACCTTTTTTTGTTGATAATCGATTATTGCTGAATTTAGTTTCGGTTACGATGTCTTTCTTGAGATTATATTTTGAATCGTGGATGATTTTCTGATAGCTATACATTACAAGCGTTTCCTTCCTTTCCATGAGTACCATTTGATTTAGTCATAAACACATAAAAGTAATTATCACATAAAAAACTAGGAAAAGTATTTGTCATTTTAAATGACATAACACTCTCCTTTTAAGAGAGAGACAGACGCAAAAAAAAAAATTATTTAAATTTTAAATTAAAAAAATCATCTACTTTCTCTCTCCCATGATTTTTATTTTTTCTGTGTCTGTTTCTCTCTTAAAATGACATAACTTATGTCATTTAAAATGACAAATACTAAACTCAAAAAACTACTATTTTTATTGTTAGCGTTTAGATTTAAATTTCTGCATACGATCTTATTTCTAATTTCTTGCTTTTAGTTCTTGAATGTTGCTTGTAGTTATACAAATGCTTTTATTGTTGAAGACACAAGTAGAGACCATACCATCATCTGTCCTTTACTTTTTTTATTTTTTTTATATTGCTCAAGTTGGAATGAGATAAAATGAAATTGTTTTCTAATATGTTATAATAGATCTCACATGTCATCGGTACTTATATTATCAAAATAGATGTTAAAGGGTGTAATTCGAGCGAACCTAGTCCATTCGTTCTTGGCTGCTAAATTTGGGTCATCGCATAGCTGATTGGCCCATAATTAAGTTAAAACAATATTAGCTTTAAAAAAAATATTTAATTAACTAATACCAAGAAATTTAAATTAATTTATATTAAAAGATTAATTTGTATAATCCAATAGGTGCAATTTAGTTGACAACAAGGAAGCACCGACATGTCATTTTTTTAGAAAAATGCATGTTGGACATTGACAATTTTGGATATGCGGTTAATATTTTAGGACACGTTGACTATTTCGATATTATAAATTTTTTTATAATATTAAAATAATTCTAAAATAAAATATAACAGTTTTTTTAAAAAAAGAAAAGAAAAAACAGAACAATGGAGGAATAATAATAGGGAGATCTCGCCGTGAATGGAGATCTATATATCTCCTCCCTTGTTATGTTTCTTCCAATGTTATTAAAATTGGCCCGATCATTGACCCGGTCGAGGTACTGGGTCATTGGGTCCCTGGTTCAACCGCATAACCGGTAATTATATGCAATTTTATAATTTATATTAAAATATTATAAACATACTCAAATATCTAAGCAAAAATGACAAAAAATTCAAATATTTAATATAAAAATTCAAATATTTAATATAAAAATTAATAAATTACATATTATTATATAATAAAGGATCAAACAAAAATATAATGATCGTGATACGGGACTTTAGGTTCAGAAAATGACATCTCTAATTATAAATCAAATCAAAATTTTCTGCATAGTTCATAATTGAGATAATATTAGTGTTATAGGTACATAACTTATGTAAGACAATAAGCAGAAAATATATTTAAATATGTCCATTATGATTTTTTTTATTTTTTTTAAAAATGGAATTTTTTTTTGGGACCGGGTCACCGGTTTTCATGAAAATCGGTCGGGTCGGAACGGGTCGCACCGGTTCTGATGCATAGCCGGTCTGTTGCTTGAACCGGACCGGTTATATGATCGGTTTACCGATTCCCAGGTTGACTCGGCCGGGTTGGTTCGATTTTAATAACACTGGTTCCTTCAATTCTTCCATCGAAATGTATTTCGTCATTGTTGTTCCTAAAGCTTTCGCCATTGTAGATTGGCTTAAATATGCAGTGAAGTCAAAGACAGAGAGAAAATGGTGTGTTTCCTTTCTCTCTCTTACGGTACATTCAAAACAAAATGAGAAGAAAAGAATTCTTACATTTCATGAAATATGATACAAAGAGTACAAAAAACATGATACAACAGATGAAAACAACAAGGAAAGGTAAAATAACTTTTACTAACCTAACTAACTCAGAACATTAACTATGGTTAAAAAAATAAAAGGCTAACTCACTGATGAAGTTAACTAACCAAAGATCCCAAATAAAGTTAACACTTATTAGTTATTACTCTTTTCTTTGCTTTTTGTAGCAACTGAGATTTTTTGGGTAACATTTCCATCAAAATTTTAAACGAAACACATTTCCAGTGAAAATTTTCGACGAAAAATATTTCCGTAAAAATTTGTGATGAAAAATATTTTTGTAAAAATTGTTGACAGAAAAAAAAAATTGTCAAAAATCTTTACGAAATCTAAATTTTGACAAAAAAACATGTTTGTCAAAATTTTCGACGAAAAATATTTCCGTTTAAATTTTTAATGAAACACATTTGCATTGAAATTTTTTTGTACAAAGTTCTGACGAAAAATATTTCTGTAAAAAAATTTGACAGAAAAAAAATTCATCAAAATTCTTTACAGAATCTAAATTTGACGGAAAATATTTGTGTCATACTTTTTGACGAAAAAAATTTCCGTTAAAATTTTCTACAAAACACATTTTCCTCGAAAATTTTTGACAGAAAATATTTTCGACAAATTTTTTAATAAAAAAAATTTCTCTCAAAATTTTCAAGTCAAAATCGACGGAAATTTTTTCTATAAAAAAATTTGACGAAAAAAATATTTCGTCAAAATTCTTTACGGAATCTAAATTTCGTCGAAAGTTTCACAAAAACATTTCCCTAAAAATTTTTGAAAATAATATTCCCGTCGAATTTTTCATTGGGACACATTTTCATCAAAAATTTTGGACGAAAAATATTTCGTCAAAATTTTTGACGGAATTCTTTTTTCCGTCAAAACTTTTGGTGGAATTTTTTTATCGAAAATATTTAAAAATCATTTTCGTCAAAACTTTTGACGGAAACTAAATTTGGTCGAAAATTTTGACAAAAAATTTATTTGTGTAAAAAATTTCATCGGATGAAAATTCCGTCACCTTTCAATGAAAAGTATTCCAACGAAAAAATATTTTTTTGACGAAATTTTTTGTCGTTTGCAACGTAATTTTTTTGTAAAAAAATATGATCTTTTTTAGTTGTGTAAAAAATACATAAAAAATTTAGAAGGCCCGCAGGCTGGCCTTAACCCATAGGGCTTTGACCCATGTGGATCTAGATCATTGTGGGCTTTTTGGCCCTAACCCACTTGGGCTAGGGCTAAATGGGTCGGGTTGACCCGTTTTGGTAACTCTATTTACAGGGAAGGAAATCAAGTGGCTCTGCGAATGAAAATCCTTCGGGTTGGTCTACTCAGTGGTATAAGAGAATTCCTTTGGGATGTGAGGAGTTAATTACTGAGGATACAAGAGGCAACATGTTGCTTTGAAGTGAATGTCAATAAAAACAAAAAGGTGATGGTCCAAGTACTGGTGCTTTGAAGTGCAATAGCCTGCTGCTGGCAGTAATCGCCACACTATGAGCTTGCTGGTTGGCGTCTGGCTTCCTGTTTTCAGGATCCTCCACTGTTGGTCACCCATCATTGGTGACTCAACCGCCCACTTGAAGTAGGCACATATGCTGCTGCTCTGTTAAGTCAGCATGGACTAGAACATTCTTGTTCAGGCCCCAACATTTTCGTCGCCGTTGAGATCCAAGCCCCTTTTTCTAAGGCAGCTGGTCCAGCATACCCTCTCAACGTTGCTGTGGGCCATGATCAACGTATGACCCAACCCCCCCATACTTCACTTGATGGAGAGACACAGGCTACATATATAAATGCACCAAACCAAGTACTGTTCCAACACCTTAATGCCCCCACTTGGGTCACAAGCAAGCGCTACCTTGCTCGGCAATCTGACAGAGTTGTCAGAATTTATAAAGACTGAGTTGTTTGATCGCCTATCAGATGTGGGACTTATAAATTCAAAGACCAATGTACAACTAAGTTGGAAAAACTCCTAGTGAAGTTTGACCAAAGTCATGGCATAACGTCATTTAATGTTTACACATAGAAATACCAGATAAAAAGTTAGTGAAGTATCAATAAGATTTATTTATGGATAAACTGTCACATCCCTTTTGTTGTCTCAAAAAGATGAGTTTTACCCGAAAAACTGTAGGGGCAGTTGGTAAAAGGATTTTTCTAGAATTCTCGAAAAATTTAAAGGTGATAATTTTATTTATCCACGTCTGATACAAGATTTAAAAAAAAAAAAAAAAAATTCGAGAATCTGACTTTCTCGAAATTTTATTTTGTATATAAATATTTTTGAAAATATCACCATATTCTTGGATTTCCATTGTAAGAAAAAATTTAATACAACCAAACATAGCATCAAAAAAATTAACTCAATATTTTCAGAAATTTTTTTACCTACTAAACACTTTTTTTATAACATTCTTGAAAAGTTCATTAGTGTCATACCAATCAACAGCGGAAGTAGTGACGTGGCACTGAATACAATATCAATCAAATGCGGGACTGATCTTTTTTTTTTTTTTTTTGATAACAATGCGGGACTGATCTTACACCAATTTACTGTGTGTTTGATTATATTAGTTTAAAAAAATTTATCCAATGCACTTAAATGATGCTTTTGCCCACCAATCTTTCAAGATTAAAATATTTGCCAAATCAAAAAGGCATCACCGCACACGGTTTTATTTATAAGTTACTTACTAGTAACGACACTTCATATATGTAGGTAACTAAGAATAAATTACGGTGTACAATGTAACAAGAAAAAGTTTATGTTAGAATTTTAACAAAAAATTAAAGCAAAATACTTTCAATTAATATCTGCCTGCCAAAATCCAATCAAGATGAACCTAACTGGTGGGTTGAAGGTTTTCGATGGTTGATTTTACTCGTATCATTGAATTAAAATGAAAAGGTAACAATAACACTTGAGCATACCCAAAATCTACCATCTGCCTAATTGAGAAATCATACACTACATACAAAATCCATTTGAAGCAGCAATAAGAAGTTAAATACTCTAACAAGGACCATTAGTGACTGCAACTGGTAACAATGGAGTCCATGTCTTCCTATCCTACATCTAAACAAACAATACTGAACAATTACACGGACCTTGATAAAATTCCAAGCAAACAAAAGATGATTTATGACTCCATTGCCATCATAGAAACAGAGTCAGGCTCGTGACCATGAACTCTCAAGCGATATATACAAGTGTGTGAAGGGTTTCCATGGTTTGACGTAAAATCTAGCCTTACTGTGTCAACAACACCAGAACCTGCTGAATTCAACACATTGAAAGTTTGAGCATTGCTTTTCTCAAGGTCATATGTAAATTCTGCTAGAAGAAACATCCTTTCAGTATCAATCACAGATTCAGTATTACGGCCCTGCAGCCAACCAGAGACCCTGCAGTCTTTGGGAGCGCTTGATCTATCATATGCAACACTCTGTTAAAAAGAATAATATTATCAGTATTAAAAGAAATTGCAACAGAATGAATTAAAAAATATGCAGCAAAACACTTACGTAACAGAGGCATCAAGATAACAAAAAAAAAAGGCATATAGAATATTCCATCATAAACAAATATCAAATGGAACTCAGAGGTTCTCCCAATAGAGACAAGTCATTCAATGCATATGACTTATTGTAAATAATACAGATGCTATACTCTCCTCTTAGCAAACAAAGAATATAATGGTCACAGTAGCAAAATGCAAAAATAAGGAAAATTGGAGCAGAACACCAGCAAAATGCAAACTGCAAAATCCATAAGGGCATTTTCAAACCAAATTTAATAACTTACACAACAGTTAAGTTTCTAAAGTTTTCAGTGCTATTCTATTTCCTTTTTATCCAATCAGAACACTTGAGCAATGAGAAGGTATGCTACAATAACATCTATTAATCAAACTTAAAGATACTGTGCCAAATAAGTGCAGGAAATCAGAAATCAGAATCATCATACACAAAAATAACTGTCATTTTCTCAAATATCAACAACTCAAACTGACAAGACAAAAAAGGTGTTCAATCATATATCTACAAAAAGCATAAAGAAAAGTAGAAAACCATTTACAAAGCATAAAGGAAATCATGAAATGGTTAAATCAACAATACATATATCTTGAAAAAAAGTAGAGAAAACTAATAATGAAGCAAAGAGCTTCAACACGGGTGTTATAGTTGGTGCTTTTTAGATACCTAGAAAATGTTATAGTCAGTCCTTCAAATTATTTTTATTTCTAGTGTCTGTGAATAGATGCAATGGGCTTTAATCTCTTGTCTGTATTGTTAATGAAAAAGAGTCTCATTTACTGAAGAACATGATTTAGTACTCAAATAACCAAGAAAACAGACATGTAACAATTAATTAGGTTGTCAGATCATGACTATACCATTATAGGTTGATAATATTTGGTAAGACCTTTGGGGGCAGTTTGGTAAAGAGATAAATTTTAGATTCCCAGGAAACTCACATTGCGAATCCTAGTTACCCATATTTGGTACAAGGATTCTTAAAATTTTCCTGGGAAAATTAGATTCCTGAGAATTAAAATTGTGAATAAGAATCCCATAAAATAATACCACGAGGTGAGTGGTATTCTTGAATTCCTTTAGTAGGAAAATTTTACGTAATCTATAGAACATAAATAACCCTGCTTTAATATTTCTATGACTAAAATACCCTCTCCTGTTTTGACCCTTTTGTGGCATATCAGAAAAAAAATTTAAAAATTTATAAAAGGTTAGTTTTGTAAAATCAGCCCACATTTCTAGGAATCATTGGCAATTAACCAAACATAGAAGCAGGAAACTTGAGCCAATATTCCTGTGAATATTTTGGCCTACCAAACAGTTTTTTTGTAACATTCCTGCGAAATTCATTTTTCCAACATATTCTCAAAAACAAAAAATTTCCTCCTCTACCAAACGCCCCCTTATATAATTAATGTAGGAAAGCTTATCTGTTAAACTGTGAAAAAAAAAAGCTTTCAAATAATGTCAAATGCAATAACTAAAACATAAAATTACAGTATACAAATAAAAATAAAAAAAAATTATTTATATCTTTTATCTTATGAAAAAATTTATTGGTCCTTTTGTCGATCACCTAGCTCTCTTCAATCATAAACACAGCTCAAACTATGAAGTTCCACTATTTTCTTACTTTTCAAATGTCTGAACAGGTCGTTCCCTAACACTTTACTTTTATTGTATAAAAGATGTGGCTATTTGATAGATCCAATCAAAGAAACATGCAAGATAGCATATCACCTACAGTGTACACTTAGAGCACAATGTATGAAATAGGAACCATGTGGTTAAATTGGGACATCTGAATCTACTCGACTACAACAACTAAATCAACAAATTAACAGGATGCATACAAAGTAATGATATATAGAAATGAAAATCATTTAGGCAAAGATATATAAGACTGCAGCATCAAGAAAGATCTCAGAGGCTGATAACAACATAACATACCCAATATCACTAACATACAACAAACTATATCAAGAAGAAGACCAAACAAGCATTACATCACACTGATTACCACATAACATACCCAATATCATTAACATACAACAATCTATATCAAGAAGAAGACCAAACAAGCATTACATCACACTTTTAACGGAAAAATTACACAAGCAGAAAAATACCACAATCTCCCCTTTGACATGCATAACTCTTTCAAATGAAAGATAAAAGCAAAAAACTTCATACTCTTATGAAACAAAATGGCCCTTTAATTGTTTCTCATATCACATGCATAGTTTAAAAATCCAGCATACGGACATCCTCAACTGCTAATAGTTACATTAATCAAAATTAATCACATTTAGTAACCTAAGTACAAGAAGAAAAAAATTGTACAAGTCATTCAAAGGCTAAAACTTATCAAAAAACTAGACGCACCTAGATGATATAATAGGATCTTAACATAAACTTAATTCATGGCACACTATGCAAATTCATGAACTGAGTTTGCCACAATCAGAGAGTGGGTATCAACATGGGAAATGCGTCATGCATATGTGTAATCAAACTGCCCTAATCCAAATTTTCAGAAATCAGGAAAAATACCAGAACACTGCCCTAATCCAAATTTTCAGAAATCAGGAAAAATACCAGAACACATTAAAGAATATACTAACTACATGGCATGCGTACAACACATTACCTTTGCTACATGTTCCAAGGTGACAGCCTCAGGAATGATGGCAGTGCGCAACCTAATCTGAACAAACCCTCTACTATCCTTCAAGGGGAAACACTGCCCCGGCTCACCAAAGCTTGGTTTCAACATCTTATCCGCATTGTGGTGGACACCATTTTTGGCAGACAACAAGAACCAGTTCCCCCTACCAGCATCATACGCCTGTGAATGCCTCACAACCGCGGCTCCACCACTTGCAAGAGCATAGTCCACCATCCCAAGCCCATCAGCAGCATGTTTCTCAATCTCCTTCTCAATCACCTCCCTCGCAAATTCCCTTATCTCATCCAAACCCCCACCCTCATAACCACTTCCCTTCTTTGCCTTCCTCAAATCCTCAACAAACTTGTCAAACTCTTCCTTTGATAACCAATCCTCTGTCTTCAACTCACCCAAATACCTCTCCAATCCCTCACTCTTTGACTCCAATTTCTTCAACTCACTCTCCAAAAATGCACCTTTCTCATCAATTCTCTCATTCATTTCCTTCCTCAAACCCCCAATCTCACCCTCAATCTTCTTATCCACCACATCAACTTGCACCTGAATCATCTTCGCCGTCTTCTTCAGCAACCCCTCCACATCAGCAATCCGCCCCTCGAATTCCGAATACCCGACATAACTCCCAACCGCGCCATCGCCGGATTTCAACGCCAACCGCCGAACCAACTGAATCAAACCCACCAGTACTACCAGGAGCACGAAATTCTTCGCGAATATGCTCAGAACCGTGAGCCACCGTGGCTTATCGGCCTTCGCGAGAGTCTTCCGTGTTCGCCGCAGCGGCAATGCGGCCGAATTCCCGCCGGCAGTCTTCTTCGCCGGCACCAGATCCCTAGAAACTGCTTCTCCGTGGATCGAGTGGTGGCTCAAGTCTCGGCCGTTGACGGACGAGGGGACCTTGCCGTCGCCGGCGCCAGAAGTGGTTGGAGAAACGGCGACGTCGTTGGCGAGGAGTTCGATGTTGGTGGTGGTCTTCTTCTCGGTGGCGATCACGGGTCTCCGACGCGCCCCCGGGTTCGCCGCCGTGATGGACACCGTGGAAGCCGACATCGGAATCGCCAAAAATCACTTCAATTCAAAGACCGAAACAATAAAAATAAAAAAATAATAAAAAAGAAAAAGAAAGTGATGGGAATGTTGGAAACCCTAATGTGTGGTTGGTTGTGAATGAAGAAAACGAGAGTGAGAAGAAGGGGAAGAAATTTTAGAGACTCTGTACGTTTTGTGTTTTTTATGAGATCCGAAGAGAAACGAATGAAGACTACGAATTTGAACCGAAGGGACACACTGTTAAGTTTTTCTTTTTCTTTTTCTTTCTATATGCTATTTATAGAGAAAAACATCTATCATTCCTAGCATCTAAAGTTTATATCATTTTAGATCCTAACCGTTGATTTCCGTCCATCAACGGTTATAATTTATTGGGCCAAACTTAATGGGCCAAATTTATTATTAATTAATTAATAATTTTAATCCAATAAATTATAATCGTTGATGGAAGGAAATCAAGGATTATGATCTAAAAGGATATAAGTTTATATCCTTTAAAAGGATAGATATTATTCCCCCTATTTATTTGTGTTTCTTATTTTGATTCGGAAATGGAACAAGGGTCCGTTTAGATGAGTTTTTTTCTTCAAAAATTGTTTTTTTAAGAAAAAAAACACTTTTTGTTTTTTTATTCGTTTGGATGTCTGCTTTTAAAAAAAAGAAAATGTCATAAAAAAAAGTCAAAAACTTACTTTTTTCAGAAGCTAAAAATTTTAACTTCTAAGAAAAGCAGAAGTGAAAAGCCAAATATTTTTTTCAAAAACTAAATATTTTTATAAAAACATAAATATCTTTAACTTTTGTAAAAAATACTTTTAAAATAAAAAAGTGATAAAAGTTATTTTTTTTTAAAGTTGAAAGAAACAACCTCTAAATCTTGAGTACTTGCACTCAGAGCATCTCACAATTATTTTGTGATACCTAAACAAACAAAAAAAAAACATCATCTAAAGCAAATGACATGATATTTTTATCTACATTTTACAAAATAATTGGGCAAATACACAGAATGTGCAATACTGCCTATACATGTGATGCATTAAGATTTAATATTTATTTTTCAACAATAAATCTTTAATGAATTGTAGTGAAGATTTAGTGCATCTATTTTATGACACATGAATAAAAAAATTACATTATCTGTGTTTCTTAAATAATATGATATTCTTTTAGGGGAAGATTATACTTCCAATCTATTTTCGTTTACAACTTCTTACAATCATATCTTAACCGTTGATTTTCGTCAATCAATGGTTAAAATTTTTACAAATCAAATTTATTAATTAATTATTAATTCACAATAAATGACAACTGTTGATTGGCAGAAATCAATGTTTAAGAATTATTTGGGTTGTAAATATAATATCTCCCTTCTTTTAAACATTATATTTATCTCATTTTTTATAAGATAAATAAATTTTCTACACACATAAAAAAAAAAAAAATTCATTTTTTTTCTCTTCTGTGAATCCTACTTTTAATTTTATTTATTTAATATGAAATAATCATTAAAAAAATTGTTTCCCTTCTTTTAATGCATTAGATTCACGAAGTCTGTTCATCCCAATTATTTTGCGACGATAAAAAAAAAAATCAAATCAACAAAAAGAGCAGAGGAAGTGAGGAGAAATTTGAAGTGGGCAGGAAGGGCTGAGCGACGCGACTAGTCAGCGCGTGGTTGAGAAATTGGAATCCACTACTGTTTGGGGACTGGGCTCGGGCTTATTCAGGTCCGGATGTGCTGCTGTCTGTTTAGATATGTCATTAACATTAAATTTTTTTTATTTTTTTTTTGGTAAATCATTAACATTAAATTAAAATATATATTTCATAATTTTTTTTTTAATGTAATACATGCCATTTTTAATTCTTTTAAATTTAAATTTGATAAATTGAATATTTTTTATTTTATAATATTAAATATTATTCGAAGTAATTGATTATTTTTTAATTTAAATATTTTTATCTTTTAATATGTTTTTCATATTTTTCTTAAATTAAAAAGCTACATACATACCGTAGAAAACTATTAATAGTTGATTTAACACATGTCAATTGATTACGTTGTTGATTAGTATTCCGGATGGCCCAAACACTGGTACAGCCCAGCTGGCCAGGCCCAATCCTCACCCCCAACCCACGTCAGCCCTAAGGGCTGACGTAGAGTCTCGCGCCCTCCAACCTTGCAGCATGTCCAAGGGATACACTGAAATGCCCAACCTCGGAACGCTAACCACCAAAGGCGCCAGCCACAGGCACCATAAAGGGAAAAACTACCCTCTGCCCAGTGCTGACATCGCCAGACGCAGAAGGCGCAGCGCTGCCCAAAAGGCAGCGCTAAACACGCCAAACATTGCTATCATGGGAGTACATCCCAAGGAGGGTTGACCTCTCCTTACCAACCACACCATATTCCCTATAAATAGCCCCCATGGGCACAACTTAAAGGCATCTTATGTATCGTGATATTGCCTATTTACTTTGAGTCCTATTGCTTACTGCACTTACTTATTGTCTTGCTATTGCTTGGCATAATACCTCTTAGCCTGGTCTGTACCTAAGCTAAGGGTATCTCCCATACAGTGACTCATCCCTAAAGGGAACATAGTGGGCTTATAGATCCCAACGGTACATTGGCGCCGTCTGTGAGAAATTATAAACTTCTATTCCCATTCTCTTACCCAAAGGCCCATCTGACAGGTCATTTCCTCTAGCTACCAAACAAATGTCAAACGCATTTTGCAACTGAACATGGTGGTCATGACCAGAAGAATGGAAAATGCCAGGGCCACGACGCCAGAAGGACACGTACAGACAGTACAACCGAGCTCCCCGCCATCCATGCATTCAGCCCCAGCTGAGCAGGCCGCTGGAGAGGCCATACCTCCTGTACTACAATCCATTGGTCCACAGTTGCAAACGACTGGTGCTAGGGTCCCCCTGCAGCATCATCAAGTACCCATGCACGAGATGCAGGGGGAAAATGTAGTTTCAAACCAACCACCGCCCCCCGGAGTTCATTTTGGAATGCCATTTCCAGCAACTGTTCCACGAACTACCCATCTCACCCATCCCCCACTACCAACCCAAAGTCAACCACTGCCAGTATACAACGACCGTCGTGTACCCATGATCGCCCCATACCCACCTAGGCCATACACACATAACATGGCTATCCCTTTTCAACTACCTCACCAAGCTGGTTTCCCTTTCCATGGTTACGCCACGCAGCCCCATAACATAGTCGTTCCACAACCTCTGGCATCTTGTCCGGATCCCAATCAAGAACCATATGGCGCTCAACAAGCTTTCCACCAAGCCCCAGCCCTCTCATACTCCGTGGAAGCCCCGCAAATACCTCGACCACAACAAGATCAACATATCAGAATAACGCCTGCTCACACGTCAGGGCGTAACAAGCCTTTGACCGACAGCTTGAGACTAACTCCCATACCACTCGGTTTCAAGGGTCCCTCTAACATCGCCACGTATGTTGGCGATACGGATCCTTTTGAGTGGATCCAAAAATTCGAAGCAGCAATGACACTCCATGGCGAAACGGATCTACTCATGTGCAGAACTTTCCCAACATTGTTGGGAGGGAGAGCTCTAACTTGGTACATCACCCTACCAACAGGCAGCATCGCGTCCTGGGACGATTTAGCAAGCAAGTTCCAATCCCATTTTGCAACTAATCGCCCCGTGCCAAAATTCGTGCACGCCCTTGAGAAGGTCCGATAGCTTTCTGGTGAGTCCCTCAGGTCCTTCCTAGACCGTTTTGATAAAGAGGCCTTACAAGTGCAAGGCCTAGATCCGAAGGTTCAGGTACACATACTCTTGTCAGGCTTGCGATAAGGAGAATTTGCTTACGAGCTCGCATGGCACGAGATTACTGACTTAGAAGAAGTCAAGAAAAAAGCGCAAGAATTTATGAGAATTGAAGAATACAAAGGGAGTCGAGCTGGTGACTCCCACGATCAAGAAAAGGCGGTCAACAAGGGAAAAAACCACACTGATGAAAGTAGAAAAGGATACCAAGCATCCACCCGCTTCACCCGTCCTTCGGGGCGAGACACATCAGAGCGACGGTCACACAGTGTCTTACAAACCGACTACAAAGAGAATCCCCAAAGTAGCCAACGGTCCCAGCAGCCAAGCAAAGAGGCCATAGCATACTGCAAATTTCATCGCAGTAATGGCCACAACACGGAGGAATGCAGGCGCCTCAAGGACGATATTGAGGAACTCATCAAAGGCGGTATGCAGAAGCGCGGAGCAGATAGCGCCCGCTCTTCCAGATCGGGTGGGCGGTACCGCGACCGAAGCAAGTCGCCAGAAAGGAGGAGAACCAATTAATCCAGCACCCGGTCCCGCCAGGGATGAGACAACAGAGAAGACTCACCTCAAAGAACCAGAACACAGACGAGCCCGAGCCGCGGAGGAAGGCGCGTGGAAGAAGAAGAAGACTCTGCTGCCATCAAACATGGAGTAATTAACATGATCTCTGGTGGTTTGAGCGGCGGGGGCGAAACATCCAACGCCAGAAAGAAACATTTAAAACAATGCCCGGCGGTTGCAGGAAAGGTGATCAGCAAAGGAAAAGGCGACTCTGGTCCAGCCAGGCCCAACATAGTTAGGGATAGCAGCGAGTTGGGCGACGTACTCCCAGGACATGACGACCCGCTTGTCATCCAAGAAATAATCGCCAATTATGGCGTTAACCGTGTATTTGTTGATCACGGCAGCTCTGCCGATATTTTATTCTTGCCCTGTTTCAAAGCGCTGGGATTCACGATTAATGATTTAACTCCTGTCGCAGGTGAACTTTCAGGTTTTAATGCTACCACCACCAAGCCTTTGGGAGTGATAAACTTGCGTTTCTCCCTTGGAACGCTGCCAACATCACGGTCTGCAGACATCCAATTCCTAGTGCTGGACACACGATCCGCTTACAACGCCATCCTAGGTAGAAGAATGTTTGCCGCCTTTGAGGCGAGCGTCTCGCACCCCCACCTGGGAATGAAGTTCATAGCCAGAGACAATAACATTGCCACTGTGCGAGGAGATCAAATTGTCGCCCGAAGTTGTTACAACATTTCTTTAAGGCCAACGACAAAGGTTACCTTCAAGGGAGAAGTGGCACCCCAGCAGAAGGCGGCCTCCCTAGCTGAAGGAAGTCCTAGCGTGAGGGGGAAAGAACACATCCAATGCTTCCTAGTAGATT